TGTATTATCTCAGAAACACTGTTGAAGAAATGGACCAAAAGGCCTCATGTTTTCTAGTATTTCTAGTTTTGATTGGAGCAGAGAGTGGCATTTTCACTACATATACACATCCCTCTGTTTTTAAAAAAAGAAAGGATGGGATGTGCAGCTCACCAGGAGAAACGGGCCCTTTGCGGCCCAGTCCCTGGAGCTCCCTGAGCCATACTCCTTCCCAGCTAGAACTAGCAGCGGGACACCGGACTGCCTGTATCTCTCGGCTGCATCAAACACGTCAAGCTGCAAGAAAAAAGGAACCATCACAACAGCCAAGAAGCCAAAATCAAAGATGATGTTGTTAAATTTGATCTTTTTAGTGTAAAAAAGACATGCAACAAATAAGTTCTGTTGAAATTTTAGTATAGAACTGGTTTAGAGTCAGACCGTGTCTCCAGTAGGAAGGTGAATGGTTTGGGGTGCCTGCTTGTCAAGGAACTTGTTAAAGAGGCGGATGTTGGCAAACGTCCCTCTGGCCATGACTGCATCGTTACCTCTCCGAGAGCCATACGAGTTGTACTCTCTAGGAGTCAGACTGTCAAAACACAAACAGAGTTAGGCAGAAACTAAATGTACTAGAAACCACAGAACTCAATCCAAGCAGGACAAAGATTAAAAGAGCTAATGAGATCACGCTAAAGATCTTAGGATTCTAAAAGTGCAAACATGACAGTTTGCAGATAACCCACCCTCTCTCAGTGAGGTAGCGTGCTGCAGCGCTGTTCCTGGCAATGTTTCCCGCAGGAGATATGTGGTCTGTTGTGACAGAGTCACCCAGGTTCAGCAGAACGTAGGCATCTTTTATAGACTCAGGAGGCGACAGCTTCATGGTCTGAATACAGAATATACAGATCAGAGCTCAGACCACACAGTAACGCCTGATGTTTTGACATTAGTGACTTATTGTGCTTCCTTAAGGGGATACACGATTAGTCGTAAGAGTAGACTTTATTTGAAAAATATTTATTTTAAATGTAAAACCAGTACAATATTGTTTTTACAATACTGTAGGCTGTTTAGTTTTTATACATTTTAATAAATTGTCACACAAACGTTGCCATGTTGTTCATGGTGCAATGCATTCTGGGTAAATGACGTCTCTAGGTCTGACTGCGCTAGCTCCATCCAGCCAAATCAGAGAAGAGTAACATCTTCAAGCCTTTTCAATTTGAACCGGAGCGCATTGAAATCGATGGGATTGTAGAAATCACAATGAAGATGAGAAGGAACAAACAGAGGAAGAGAACAGAGTTGGCCACAGGAGCTGGTGTTTTGCTGCTGCTGCCACTTTCAGCTTCATAAATGTAAAAATGAAAGACACATACCCCTGGTCAGATTGTGTGATCCGGTAAGTAATTCTATAGCTCTGTGTTTGGTCCAATAGCAGCTGTTTAATGTCCAGTTTTGGTCCTGCCTTTTTCGCTCTGGTGGCAGCGGGGTTTAGGCACTTTGTGGATAAAAACTGTTGGCACGGCATTTATTTTTAGCTTGTTAAGGTACCGTATTTTCCGCACTATAAGACGCACCTAAAAACCTTCAATTTCCTCAAAAGCCGACAGTGCGCCTTATAATC